AGTGACGTTTCCTTGTTCGTCGTAACATTCGACGATAGGTATGGAAAACTGCCGAGCGCGTGGTTTGCGAAAGAAATGACTTGTCGGTGCCTCGTTTTGGGTGGCGTGGAAGTCAAAACTCAAGTCCGCGTGGTGCTGTTTCAAGTCTTGCTTCTTGGTCTCATACTGTGTCCTTGCAGTATTGAGAGCTGCTTCGGTGAGGCGTCCGTGATGATGTCGTAACTGAGCTTGTAGCCATTGGATCTTGGCCTCTTGAAGTGCGTTCTTTTGGTTCGTTACCATTCGAGCGTGATATTTCTGAAGAAAGCGTTTGGTGCGGCGTTGCCATTGAGTCCACAAGACCCCTGGCTGGTTCGATGTCCGCAGTCGCTCGAGCAGTTCGCTGGCTTCGGACACAATCGCCTCTCGAACTTCTCGGATCGCCAAAAGTTCTTTTGGCAGCTTCCAGTAGCTCTTGACGCGTGTTGTTTTTACTGGTTGGAGCTCCACTTTGTGCCATAAGTGATCTGTGTTTGCTGTAGGCTCGAAGTACTCGCCAGCAGAATACATTCGACACAAGGCAGGCTGAAGGAAGATGTAATCAAGCCGATTGAGTCCCTTCGGCGAAGAGTAAACCTTCTTCGTGGGGTTGAAAGATCTCCAGGCGTCGACGACCTCAAGTTCTTGTAGCCACGCGAAACAAGACTGCCTGTTGACTTGGTGGTTTGAGGTGGTGGAGCCTCTTGAGTCCAATGCTCGATCCATCGGGAGATTGAAGTCTCCCATGACGACATGTTTGGACGCGATTGGGAAGTTTCGTGGCAAGGCATCAAAGAAGGCGTCTCGCTCGCTGTCTTCAACAGGTGCGTAGACATTGTGGTAGTAGATGGGGTCGTCTCCCCACATTGAACTGACCACCATGTAGCGATCTTCGATGTCGTATTGGCGTTCATGGTGAAGTGTGTTGAAGCCAGGGATGGTGTGTTGGAAGATCATGGCGACGCCACCAGATCGGTATTGTTCAAGTTCGCCTCCCAGAAGCCGATGGTCATTGGCAGCAATGAAGTACTTGTCATGACCAAGAGCGTGAGCAAGGTGAAACATGAACGTGGAGAATTTCTTCTCACTGGCAAATTTGGTTTCTTGTAGGGCAACGATCTCGTTCCGTGAGATCATGGTGTTGACAAGTTGGTTTCCATTGTCTCTCGAAAGGCCATTTATATTGGCCGTGACAATGGACAAGTTGACAAGTGAAGAGTTGGGGAACGTTGGCTGTGGTGGTTGTTGGTTTGGATGCGATGAAGTTGGCTGCACTGAAGCCGCGAGGACCTTAGTACAACAAGTTGTTCCTGCGTTGCAGGCGGGTATTGTCGTTGCCAACGAATGCTGTTAACGAGCTGTCTGTAGGCTGGTAGGCATCAATACTGAGCTGCCATATCCGCGAAGACATCTCGGTTTTGCACACACGATTCAGTTCTTCCGCAAAGTATTGCCCGAACAGCGACTTCAGCAAAGCCCAGAGCGTGGATGGTGCCAACATGCGGCCATGTTTGGCTGGAAGCCACGCTACTGGCTGACGAGTGAGGTACAAGATCCATGCGTCATTTCTGAAGACTAACGGAGCTTGCACAGCGATCCATAGTTCGAAAGCGGCAAGAGCATCTTCCACTTGATCCGTTGGGAAGGCAGGGTGTTTTGGTGCGTCCTCGAAGAAACCCAAGACGCTTGAGATTTCTTCAAGCCTGGTCCACTTTGGATGTTCTTGAAAGGTAAACTTGAATCCATTCGTGAATGAATCGACCACTGGTAGTTGTGTCGCCGACATCCAACGTTGCCAAGCGTGCATACGGACGACCTTGAGGTAATCACTGTACGTATGTGTGGCTAACTTGGTTAGGACGACGTTCATGCTTTGGGTGTGGGAATGGATGACTTTCCAGAGTCCGTCAACGTTGCATCGACGTATGTAGTCGACAACATCAAGTTCCGTTCCGGAGATGTCCGTGGTGTTGGCTTGGTTGTGGTGTTGGAAGGCAGCTCCTTCCCCAACGCTGGCTTGGAGCACTTGGACAAGCTCCTCCATGGTGAGGTTGTCTGGGTGCCAGCAAAGCTTGCTGTCGACAACATGTTGCCTCTTCACGAAGGCGTCACGTGCTTTCAAGCTTTCTTCTGGGATCTTCTTGATCGCAGGTATGTACACACGAGTTGGTGTTTCATGCTGAGAATCCACTGGCATAGTAGTTGCTTCGATGGTTGCGAGAGCATTGAAGAAGTTGTCGGAGGCCCACGATACAAATGATGGGGACGCTTGTGCAGCGGCTACTCGCTTCTTCGAACGAGGTACAACAAATCCATCTTCGTCGACAGATTGACTCGTGGTGCGTTTAGTTGATTTTGGATCGACTTCCATGTTGGTGCTCAACTGCGATGAAGCAGGAGGAACAATTGGCTCGGTCTCTAGAGGTGTGACTTCCATGTCTTGTGGCTCTTCCTCTCTACCCTGGAGTAAAGGTTCTTCGTTTGATTTTGGCTCGGTATGAGGAGGGATCACTTCCATATTTTGTGACTCTTCACCCTGACCTTGGATTATAGGTTCTTCGTGTTGTTTTTCCTCGTTGACTTTGGCGCGTTTGGTTTGTTTGGCTCCTTGGTCCACTGCGCCTTGTCCTTCTGGTTCCGGCACTTGCTTCTCCGGACTTTGCATCAACGCTGCGGCGTGGTCCAAGTCCAAGCAATGAGGTGAAGCAGAAGAGGTGCGAGAAGCCGAGCGTTGGAAGTTCTTGACAAACACATTGTAGGCCACACCATCCATCTTCAGTCGGTCTGCTGGATGACCGTTGACGACTAGTTGTTTGGGGACTTCTGCCTCCAAGAAGTAGACGCGCCACACATTGGACTGGCAGGAGACATTGGGTATGTGTTGCCGATACGCTTGAAAGATTGGCTTCATCTTCAAACGTCGTAGCAAACGGAAGAGCTTGACAGAGTCGAAGTTGAATCGAATGCCCACGATGTCCATAAAGAAGAACTTGTCCATCGGGTCGTTCGATTCTTGAGATGATCCGCTGACCTTGACCGTAGGCACTGGAATCGTGAACTCCTTGCCGAAGATCGAAATGGTTTTCCCAGCGAGCATGTCCTTCACGTCGCGCGAGGTAATGGACACGACGATGTCGCCGGTGCGCGTTTTGTTGAGTTGAACGAATTCCAATAGGAGGTACGCCCATTCGGCATCTTGGTTTTCCTTGAAGATCGCGTCGATGATCTTCTCGTTGGTATAGGCCTTGTCGGAGAAGGCTCCATCAGTTTCGATCCACATCGTGGTGGTGGCCTTCTTGACCTTGACTGGGGTCGCCTGCGAGATGGCCTCAAGCAAGTCTTCCTCGTTTGCATCTTCTTGGCTCGCGAGGTCGATGAGTTTGCTGAGGTACTCCGGCTTGGGGCGGTTGACGACAGTCTTGACTCGTTTCGGAGGTGCATTGTCTTGATCGCCCTTGAGTAGGTCGGCATAGGATTTTTTCTTGGGTTGTTCTTGTTCTTTTTGAGGAGGACTCTCGCGCGGCGGAGCACCAACGGGATCGGAGAGATCGATGATAACTCGGCGCGGCGCAGGGTCGCTAGCTTGGTCGGGTGGAGGGGCTTGTTGGGACATATTGGCATCTTCGGCGTGGTGGAATCCATCTTCATGGCGCTTGTCGGACTCGCTCGCGTTGGACTCGACAGAGATTTCGTTGGCGGGTGCGTGGAGAAGGCGATCTTGAGCGTCGGCGGAAGGAGACGGCGTCGGACCCTGCTCGTCCACTGGTGGACCAGAAGGGACAAGGTACTTCACGGAGGAGACATTCGGCATAGAGGGCTTGGCAGCATCGGCGGCAGCGGTAGACGACATTGGTCGAGGGGTTCCTTACTTTGGCTGTTGACTTGAGTGGTTGACGGCAAAAGTAAAAGTGCCCCTATAGCTCAGTGGTAGAGCACTCGCTTCGTAAGCGAAAGGTCCGTGGTTCGATCCCGCGTGGGGGCTTGCATTTATGTTTTTCCCACACGTTTATCCCTCGACAGCTCTATTGTCGGATCTGTCCTTTCAACCCCAAAGTCTAGACATCATCCTTACCCCTCAATCACTCAAAACAAACTACATTCACGAACACTCGTCAGTCTCGCCAAATACACAAGTCCTTCATCTCGCATGAGCCCAGGCTATCCCCGCCATTTCAAAGACTTGACACTAAAAGTTCACTCATTCTCACTGTATGAAAATCAATTGATGTAAAATTGACAGATTTGGGTCGTCTGAAAACAATTAACATCGTGCAAGATTTATTCATGGTGCTCAGGAGCATTAGTTGAGTTTGTCACAGAACAGAAGAGGCTGTCCTTGAGGGTTTTCTTTCTCGTTGTGGTGAGCATATCCCCCAACACCGTGACCGTTTGTACCTGAAACTCTCTTTCTCTTTGTCGTCGTTCGTTTTTCGCAAACACAACCCATTCCTATGTTAGAGTCTTCCCAATGCAATGAAACCCTGTCAAAAAGGATCATTTACTGTTGAATGTAAAAAACGTTTCTTTCAATACTCTTCTAGCCAAGATAGACCATCGGCATGGCGAATAGAAAGTAAAATCACATGCTAGTCACATTTAGTTTCCTGGTGTCTACATGACTCGCGAGCTCTATGTTTTGCACGCGACCAATTGCTGGGAGTGCGAATGGACCAAAAGATTGAACCACACCTTGCAACGGCTACATTTGTTATCACGATCGAACGGAGTGAAGTGCAAGTCATAGTCTACAAATGCATGGGCTAATTCAGTCTGACATGTGTTCTCTATGTATCATGATAAGTTTCAGTGTATGCTAAAGTTATACTTATTGTGAAAGTCATGTGTGAGTTGAACAGGTTTTGTTTGGTTAGTCGTGTTTTCTAAGGCATGGTCATAGAGTATAAGAGCTGAGTGGTATCGGAGTGAAAATGGCGTGATGAGTTGGATGTATGACACTTTGGGATTGAGGTCTGGAGTAAGGAGTCGATGTCGTCTAGTGGTTAGGACGCAAGCTTCACACGCTTGAGATCGAGGGTTCGATCCCCTCCATCGATACTCTTTTCCCTTTTTTCCATGAGAGCCATAAAAAGCACATTTATCAACAATCTGTCGATCAGAAATCGACGATCGTCATGGCTGTGTCAGGGTCCTCACGCCCATCGGAAATAAAGCGACGGAAAGCTCTCGTGTTGTGAGATTATTTCACCCACTCCAACTTTTAGAGGAAATATTTTGCCGCTTTTCAAATCCCAATTTCACGAATTTGACACACAAGACATTTCACGATGTTAGGTTGGTCTTTTATCACCACACATTCGGCGAGCTCAGCGGTCTAAGACCTATCACAATGACTCACTGGACGTTTAATCTGGAAGGGGTGCGAATACTGTCCACACATATGTATTTGAGATATTTCTCGTATTTTGATCGCGATATTCATGTGCAGGAGACGCGTCCTGGTTTAGCTTGAGACGACCAAAGTGAAGAAGATTCATTCTCATAGTCAGCTTTGAAGTAAGCAAAAATTCGTACATCGGTCTAAAGTCGCATGTCAGAATAATTTTTGACGAAATGTGTTCCATGTGAAAGATTACAGTGGAAGAAGGATATTCTAGATCATACGAAGTGGAGACTGTATGCAGCAATTGAGACGAGTTTCTTGACGAGATTTGGTAATGTAGGCCATGTGGTGAGTGTGATTTTGTGTGGGGACCTTGTCAATAGATAAAGACTATGGAAACGACGATGAGGCAATGCGAACTCACCAGATTTTGAAAATAGGAACGAAATCATTAACTGCTGCTCGGATGAACGTGCCAATGTATTGGCCTCAGGTTGGTTCTGATGTTTCATGGAACGTCAGCAAGATTCGAAGACCATATATGCCCAATTCTTCCAACGTAAAAGAGCCTACATATTAGATGATATGGTCGACTTTTTTCACCAGCTTATACACGCCCTATTTGGCGCTAACATGGATTCATACAGAATTTCCTTTGCTCCCTCCGAAACATAAAAACGATTAATTAAGCGTAAGATAATGATATTTAGCGGGAGGTTCATAACTGTTGATGTCATGAGTTGTTGCATGAGCAAAGTACACAAAACAGACACTGAAATGGTACTCGCAAGCAGTTACCGTGAAATCTGCAAGTACTTGAATACATTCTTAAAAGATTTCACCCCTGCGTTACTCTGATGGGTCATGTTAATCTTAATCTGTCACCCCCTAAAATGCTTGATTGCATGCTACTTCCGCAAGACCCCCAACATTTTGCCGGCTAAGCTTAGGACGATTCTGTAGCAGAGGTATCCTCAGACTTGTGTTGACTGCTTAAATTTGTTACCGATCAGTTAAGGTAGCCCCACCTCCACTTCGAAATTGGAACGAGGCATAAATTTCTCCATGAAGACAAAACCCTTACGACTTTATCCCTTTTCAAATTAAATTTCCTTTTTAATCTTCTATTTGGACGAGGAGTGAACAAGCATTCAGCAAGAATGTTTGAGAATATGCATAGTTTATTCAAGTAAAAAGTAGCCTATCACTAACACATGGTGAAAAAATGACGAATGTTGACTACTTCTAAAAATCTTTACCATAGTGCAGGCAGTGTTAAGAGTTCTAGATTCGACCAGCTAATTGATCGTGACTTCTACTTTCAACATACAACACAGTATGTCCAATTTTCCTTCAGGACACTCGAGATTTTTTAGATAAAAAATGGTCATAAAGCGACCTATCACTGGAAATCTACGCTGTTTATTGTGCAGTATTTACAGGAACAAGTGAAATCTCAACAACTGACCTCTCAAACATACAGTCTTTTCCGCGAGTTTGAAAACCTGAAATCATATTCCTTCAAAAATAAAAAATAGATATAGAAATTTATAGGAGAGGGAGCAAAGTCGACATGCTTACTTGTGAGCCACTATGGGAAATTCAAACTTCGAGACGATTTAAATCGTGGAGCTGCCAGCAGTTATAGAAAATTGTTTATTGAATGAAGCCTGGATGTAACACGAAACTCATGCGTCTCGAACTCGCCCAAAAGCTGGCAATCATCAAGCACTAAGATTTGAACCCACAAGCAACTCTTGAAGAAGTCGCAACTTGGACACAACTTCACCATGCGCTTGAGCACAGGCCATCCTTGCCGATAATCTCGCGTATCAGATATACATCGAAGTATTGGTTAGCCATGTTAAAGTTTTACAACTCACAATGCAATATTACTTCTAGACAATTTTTATTGGCTGAAACGTGCAAATAATAATAAAGTGCTCCATTGGTTTGGTTGATTATTTTTTGCAAATCTGTACTAATCTGGTCCGGAAGGTGCGGGAATTCATGGATTTTTATAAAATAATCAATGATCTTAATAATATCCCAAAATTAAAAAAAGTTTCTTTTTGAGTTTTTTTAGGATTATACTACTCTGGTCCATAATTATTGTCCTATTCTTTACACTTGATTTTTGTATGCATTAGCGTCCAACTATATCTTGAAATTTGTATTGAACCGCAAGACTGAATAATCAGCGAGAAAGATTATATTCATTTTTTTTAAATCGTCGTGCCTACTGATACTTGGGATTTCAATATTTCGGATGCCTTGGCAAATACCGCCGGATCGCATTGGACATTGAAGGACGATAGGTCGCTGATACGACTATCCTTGTTCATGTGAGGAATTTTATACCCATTCCCTCTAGATTCATCAAGTGATTTCTCCATTACTTTCTGCAGTGTAATGAATGTCTTGGAGAGGGTGTCGATGGGCAACTCACAGAACGATGTTTCCACAGCACCAATCAATTCCTCGATCGTTCGAGTCATCTTTTGGGACTGTAGACTTTGAACAGAGTTAAAATATCCTAGATCTAGGACATTAAAGTCCGGGCTATTGGGGGTCTGATTTGCAACTTCAATTCCTTGGATGCCGCGCTCTTTCAAAAATTTTGTTGTGACTTGGTTGTGAGGGCTCGCGTTGTCTTGTTGGAGAAATATTGTATCCTTGAGATCTCGCCGAGGAAACTTGGACAAAATAGCTGGCACAACTTTTTTGACGATCATTTCTTGATAGACTTCAGAGTCAACGGTTTGAGATGCGGTCAAAATAGTTCCCTTGGGTCGTTTTTGCTGGTTCTTTTTGCGCGGACTAATTTGACGAAAGGCCAAACTCCGATTTTTCCGTCGAACATTTGTTTCTTGCTGTGATCGTAGCGCGGCCTTGCCACTGCGGCGAGGAACATGACCTTTGTGAGGAAGCGCTTGGTTCATATTTTTGGTATAAATATTGAATTTTGGAGTACATACCTTTCATTTTTGCCGCAACATCGGTGGGCTGAGATCTTGAGGCGGCGGAGGCTCGTCCTCGCGTCCAGATGCGCGACACAGTCTTTCAGTGGCAGTTAAATCGCAGAGCAAGATCGTTCATTGCTCCATACGGAAGCACGCCGCCAAGTGAGCGCTCTAGCAGCTCCTGGTAGATCGTTTGTCGCTCGACTTCCGTCAAGTTGGTCTTGCGCCTTGCACTGTCTGCAGGGTCGCTAGAGGCTCGCGCTTGTACACGAGCCATCCGGGTGTCGAAGGCAATGGTTTGGACTGTGTTAGTGGCGACGAAAATCAAAAGTGAATGCTCTCCGGAGAGATTTAGTTCTTAAAATTTGATACACTGACTTTCGCGCCTTGTATCTCATCGACGAGCGCGAATTTTTTCATGATTCAAAAAGCCAATCAAACGTCTGCGTTTGTGCTTTTGTTTGAGCCTATCAGCGTTAGAATTGGTGCAATATTAGAAAAATCCCGCCAATAACAAAACAATGGTACAATAATTATGGACCAGAGTAGTATAATCTAAAAAGAAACTTTGAAAACGACCTAAAAACCCTCACTTCCCAAACGATTCAAAGCCTGATATTTCAGGACAACATATTTAGGAGCATGGCATGAGGATATCATTCGAGAAACATCAACTTTAGCCACGTCTTGTGTGGTTTAAAAGTCATAGTCGGAGTTTTTAGAAGTTTCTTCTAACTTCACATTAAAAAAACCACATTCAAGCCATTCCAATCCTTGATTTCATTACACTCTGCTGTAGGTTGTACTTCTACCTATAAGTTTCAACGAAAAGGAATCGCAATGGGAACTGTTTTTTAAGCGGCAAGTCCGACACTTTCGAACTAAAAGAAACTTTTGTAAAGTTGTATACACCAACAATCATGTAATTTTAAAAAATGAACGATATTTTAAAAATGGCTGACGTACCTTTTAATTGCTGGTTTCCCGCATCTCCGAGGTATTCATTTTAAAGATGCCAATGTCATTGTAACAAATACTACTCTGGTCCGAAATGATTGAAAGGTTTAACTTTTGATGATTTGATTGGCAGTATTTTTCTAAATCGATCCATATGTATTGCCTGATGGGCTTATTACAAGAGAGCATTCTTTTAGCTGTGATTGGGTAGTTGAACGAGGAATGATATGTAAGGATAATTTTAATTATCCGACAAATCCAACCGACAATTTCTTGATTGGACAAAATATCACTTGTCAATTGAGGTATTTGACTGTGAATTGCATACCCTGAAGTCAGATTGAAGTGGTAGGCTATCGCAATCCAAGCTCTGTTTGTCCTTGTCCTCGCGGTCAGTTCAAGCTCTGTTTGCCCTCCTTTGTCGCCGTCAGTCCAAGCTCTGTTTAGTCTTGTTTGTCGCCGTCTCTCCAAGTTCTGTTTGCCCTCCTTGGTTGCCGTCCGTCCAAGCTCTGTATGCCCTTGTTTGTCGCCGTCTCTCCAAGCTCTGTTCGCCCTCCTTGGTGCCGTCCATCCAAGCTCTGCTTGGCCTTGTTTGTCGCCGTCCGTCCAAGCTCTGTTTGGCCTCGTTTTACGAGCTTTTCGACCTTTTTCATAGAGATGGTGCAAGGAGTCTGTGCACTCTTCTGTTGTCGCTGAGCGGGGGTTCGTGTCACCATGGTTTTGTTGCATATAAAGAAGAAACTGTCACTGGTACGTGTCATATGTCCTTCTCGTCGACGTTCCATAGAAGGCGT